CTTATGATTGAAATATGTAATAATATTCATTTTATTCAATATATTATGTAATGATATGCATTTACCCCAAAATATGCAAAAACATGCAAATTAAAAATACCACCATTTATCGAATCATGAGATGATTCGTGGACATTACTGACAAAATCAATAATCAGAAGTCGCAAAAGAAACATGCTGTTACATACAAATCCTAACCCTAATTATAATATATATTGTATTATCCAAATCAGTTTAAAATTTAAAATTAAATAAATAAATATCATATAATTTAAAAACAAAGACATTACCAGCTATAGGTGGTGAATATAAATTGAATATTTGTTCGTATTTCCTGTATATGGAGCATGTCACGTGACTTGAAACTCATTTATTTTGTTTTTATTCATTTATTCACTTATTATAATGGTGGTATTTAATGTAAATTTATAGACAAGACGTATCCGAATACTTGGTATTCGGCACAATCGTAAAGATCTTTCAAAAATCGTGTTCTGCATTTTACCAGCCACTGAAGTCTGTAGATAATAATATGTGGGAAAAATTTGCAGATAAAACGTATGTGTACTTTGCCCACATTATTTTATAGGATACCCAATACGAAATCGCCGATTGGACAATAAAACACAATAGCTATGGGTCTAACACCTGGCGGATAGGTATTTTTCTCTTTTCATGACAGTCCCATAGCCGAATTTTATAGAAAATGCTGGTCTGATGGTATATTAAACACGCACGTAGTCTGCAAATAATTCATTTTTTTCGTCTTAAGTGGCCACTTTAATACTGGAAAACACTCAGTCATACTACCACCAATTGGATAGCAGCAGCAAAACCCCCAAACAGCATAAAAATATTTGCAAACTTGCTCTAAAAAAAAACAATTAGAATTAGCAACAATATATAGGTGCACAATACAAATTTAATACTTATATAAAAATATGAAAAATTCTTTTTATGTATAATTAACATATTTTGACATTAAAAAAAAAGGTGCCCTAAACACTAAAAAAATTTGAAACTGAAAATGTCCGTAAACAGCACAAAACAAGTCAAAATATTTTCAAATTGTATGGTGTATAGGAAATTCTAATATAAACATTCTGTGAATTTTTCATTTATCTACAGTGATTTGTTTTTGAATTAGAACAAAATAAGGAAATCGCTACATGAGAAATCGAGTGAATATCCAAGTTCACTTACCACACGAAACAATAACTCGACTATAATTTAGGATGTATAATAGATAATGCTGGTCAGCTGATATATTAAACACGCACGTAGTCTGCAAATAATTCATTTTTTTCGTCTTCAGGGACCACTTTAATACCGGTTAACACTCAGTTATACTACCAACAATTAGCTAGCAGTTACCACACATCCCAAGCAGCATTAAAATATTTGCAAACTTGCTCTAAAAAAAACAATTAGAATTAGCAACAATATATAGGTGCACAATACAAATTTAATACTTATATTAAAATATAAAAAATTCATTTTATGTTTAATTAACATTTGCTATTTAAAAAAAAGGTGCCCTAATCACTAAAAAAATCTGAAACTGAAAATGTCCGTAAACAGCTAAAAACAAGTCAAAATATTTTTATATTGTATGGTGTATAGGAAATGCTAATATAAACATTCAGTGAAATTTCCATGTATCTACAGTGATTCGTTTTTGAATTAGAACAAAATAAGGAAATCACTACATGAGAAATCGAGGAATATCCAAGTTCACTTACCACAAAAACAATTACTCAAATATAATATAGGATATTATATTATAGATAATGCTGGGACTGATGATATATTAAACACGCAAGTAGTCTGCAAACAATTCATTTTTTTCGTCTTCAGTGACTAGTTTAATACTGGTTAACACTCAGTTATACTACCAACAATTAGCTAGCAGCTACCACACATCCCAGCACATCACAATATTTGCCAAACTTGCTCTAAAAAAAACAATTAGAATTAGCAACAATATATAGGTGCACAATACAAATTTAATACTTATATTAAAATATGAAAAATTCTTTTTATGTATAATTAACATTTGACATTTAAAAAAAAGGTGCCCTAAACACTAAAAAAATTTGAAACTGAAAAGGTCCGTAAACAACACAAAACAAGTCAAAATATTTTCATATTGTATGGTGTATAGGAAATGCTAATATAAACATTCAGTGAAATTTTCATGTTTCTACAGTGATTCGTTTTTGAATTAAAACAAAATAAGGAAATCAATACATGAGAAATCGAGGAATATCCAAGTTCACTTACCACAAAAACAATTACTCAAATATAATATAGGATATATTATAGATAATGCTGGGACTGATGATATATTAAAACACGCACGTAGTCTGCAAATAATTCATTTTTTGTCTTCAGTGACCACTTTAATACTGGAAAAACCCTCAGTCATACTACCACCAATTGGTAGCGCAGCCAAACCCCCAAACAGCATCAAAACTGTTTGCCACTTGCCGTTTAAAAAAAACAATTAGAATTAGCACAATATATAGGTGCACAACTCAATTTAATACTTATATTAAAATATAAAAAATTCATTTTATGTTTAATTAACATTTGCTATTAAAAAAACGGTGCCCTAATCACTAAAAAAATCTGAAACTGAAATGTCCGTAACAGCTAAAAACAAGTCAAAATATTTTTATCTGTATGGTGTATAGGAAATGCTAATATCACATTCAGTGAAATTTTCATGTATCACAGTGATCGTTTTGAATTAGAACAAAATAAGGGAAATCACTACATGAGAATCGCGGATATTCCAAGTTCACTTACCACAAAACCATTACTCAAATATAATATAGGCTTATTATTATAGATAATGCTGGGACTGATGATATATTAAACACGCAAGTAGTCTGCAAACAATTCATTTTTTTCGTCTTCAGTGACTAGTTTAATACTGGTTAACACTCAGTTATACTACCAACAATTAGCTAGCAGCTACCACACATCCCAAGCAGCATCAAAATATTTGCAAACTGCCTAAAAAAAAACAATTAGAATTAGCAACAATATATAGGTGCACAATACAAATTAATACTTATATTAAAATATGAAAAATTCTTTTTATGGTATAATAACATTTGACATTGAAAAAAAAGGTGGCCCTAACCTTAAAAAAATTTGAAACTGAAAAGGTCCGTAAACAACACAAAACAAGTCAAAATATTTTCATATTGTATGGTGTATAGGAAATGCTAAACAAGGAAACATTCAGTGAAATTTTATGTTTCACAGTGATCGTTTTTGGAATTAAAACAAAATAAGGAAATCAATACATGAGAAATCGAGGAATATCCAAGTTCATTACCACAAAAACAATTACTCAAATATAATATAGGATTCTTATAGATAATGCTGGGACTGATGATATATTAAACACGCACGTAGTCTGCAAATAATTCATTTTTTTCGTCTTCAGTGACCACTTTAATACTGGAAAACCCTCAGTTCATACTACACCAATTGGCTAGCAGCAGCCAAACCCCCAAACAGCATCAAAATATTTGCAAACTTGCTCAAAAAAAACAATTAGAATTAGCAACAATTATAGGTGCACATACAAATTTAATACTTATATAAAATATAAAAATTCATTTTATGTTTAATTAACATTTGCTATTTAAAAAAAAGGTGCCCTAATCACTAAAAAAATCTGAAACTGAAAATGTCCGTAAACAGCTAAAAACAAGTCAAATATTTTTTTATATTGTATGGTGTATAGGAAATGCTAATATAACATTCAGTGAAATTTTCATGTATCTACAGTGATTCGTTTTTGAATTAGAACAAAATAAGGAAATCACTACATGAGAAATCGAGGAATATCCAAGTTCACTTACCACAAAAACAATTACTCAAATATAATATAGGATATTATATTATAGATAATGCTGGGACTGATGATATATTAAAACACGCAAGTAGTCTGCAAACAATTCATTTTTTTGTTTCTTCAGTGACTAGTTTAATACTGGTTAACACTCAGTTATACTACCAACAATTAGCTAGCAGCTACCAAACATCCCAAGCAGCATCAAAATATTGCACAACTTGCTCTAAAAAAAACAATTAGAATTAGCAACAATATATAGGTGCACAATACAAATTTAATACTTATATTAAAATATGAAAAATTCTTTTTATGTATAATTAACATTTGACATTTAAAAAAAAGGTGCCCTAAACACTAAAAAAATTTGAAACTGAAAAGGTCCGTAAACAACACAAAACAAGTCAAAATATTTTCATATTGTATGGTGTATAGGAAATGCTAATATAAAACATTCAGTGAAATTTTCATGTTTCTACAGTGATTCGTTTTTGAATTAAAACAAAATAAGGAAATCAATACATGAGAAATCGAGGAATATCCAAGTTCACTTACCCAAAAAACAATTACTCAAATATAATATAGGATATATTATAGATAATGCTGGGACTGATGATATATTAAACACGCACGTAGTCTGCAAATAATTCATTTTTTTCGTCTTCAGTGACCACTTTAATACTGGAAAACCCTCAGTCATACTACCACCAATTGGCTAGCAGCAGCCAAACCCCCAAACAGCATCAAAATATTTGCAAACTTGCTCTAAAAAAAACAATTAGAATTAGCAACAATATATAGGTGCACAATACAAATTTAATACTTATATTAAAATATAAAAAATTAATTTTATGTTTAATTAACATTCGCTATTTAAAAAAAAGGTGCCCTAAACACTAAAAAAATTTGAAACTGAAAATGTCCGTAAACAGCTAAAAACAAGTCAAAATATTTTCATATTGTATGGTGTATAGGAAATGCTAATATAAACATTCAGTGAAATTTTCATGTTTCTACAGTGATTCGTTTTTGAATTAGAACAAAATAAGGAAATCAATACATGAGAAATCGAGGAATATCCAAGTTCACTTACCACAAAAACAATTACTCAAATATAATATAGGATATATTATAGATAATGCTGGACTGATGATATATTAAACACGATCGGTGCCACTGACATACAGTACGTGCAGTAGCTGTCTACGGCCCGGTCTCTGTCGTGCAGATATTTTCTGAAACATCCGTGTCCGGACAGGGCCTGGGTCAGGTGGTACGTTAGACCGAGTGGTGGCCTCGACAGCCAGTGACCTACGTCAGGGAGTAGCCTGTGCGTCCACCTGCCGTTTGGAGAGCGGTCCCATCTGGACTGCCACGCTCTGGTGCTGATGGCTCGTTCTTCTGTCTTAATACCACTTTTGGAGGTCATATCATCCTGGTCGTCTAGTCGCTTCCGCATCCTGGCCCTCTCATTGGCCAGCAGATCGGCTGGCACCATGGACGCAAGTAGTGAGGACGCGTAGCCGAGACGGTACGGTAGGCCCGGTGATGAGGATGGTGACGGTGCGTTGTGCCTTGCCCTCGTTTTTGGTTTTTTTTTTTTTTGCCGTTTTGGTGCCTTGCGTGGCCCAAATGGCAGCTGCGTACAGCATCTTGCTGTTCACGACCGTTCCAGGAGGGGGCTCTCTTCCTCTGGGAAGGTCCGCCGACGTTTGGTATTAGCCTCCCTATGGCGAGCGCTGACTCGCATGCCTTGGCCGACGCCTGGTGGACGTGTTTTGTGAACAGCAGGCGCGTGTCGAGCTCGACGCCCAGGTATCTCATGGACCGTTTGACTGGGACTGCGTGGCCTTCAACTATGAGCTCGGGGTCGTTGAAAATATGCTTCCTAGTGAGCACTATTGCCTCCGTTTTGGCCGGAGCTAGTTGTAACCCGTTGCTGTTCATCCATTCGGCGACTGCACCGAGAACCGGGTTGATGAGCGTAGTGGCAGACTCGCCGTTCCGAGAGATGCCCAGAACGCAGACGTCGTCCGCGAACGCCACTAGTTGAACCCCGTGGGGCGTATTCATTTCCAGGAGTTTGTCGTAGAAGACGTTCCACAGGGCTGGTCCGAGGACGGAGCCCTGTGGGACGCCGCACGTGGTGTTCCTTCTGAGTAACGCCTCGCCTACCAGGATTGAACGGTCTTGTAGGTAAGACCTTATTAGTCGGACGAGGTATGCGGGAACGTTCTTTTTCCGGAGCGCGGCGTCGATCTTGCGCCATGGAGCCGAGTTGAAGGCGTTGCTCACGTCCAGGGAAACGGCGACGCACAGGTCTCGGTGATGGACGGCGCCCAGGGCTGCGCCTTGGGCCGTCTCCAGAAGTCTGGCGATGGCGTCCTCCGTCGAACGGCCGCTCCTGAAGCCGTGTTGATTCGCCGATCGTTGGCCAGTAGTGTCAAGATGCTTGTTAGTCTGGTCAGTATCAGTCGCTTGAGTAGCTTGCCAGCGGAGTCCAGCATTGACAGAGGCCTGTAGCTAGATGGTTCTAGTGGCGGTTTCCCCGGGCCTTTGTGCAGGAGCACAAGTCTCGACTCTTTCCATCGCTCTGGAAAAGTGGTGTGGGCGAGACATTTGTTGAAGACCCCGAGCAGAGAGAGTGGTCTGAGGAGAGCGGTTTTGGCGAGTACCTCGTTGGGGATGCCATCGGGTCTCGGGGCAGGCGGCTTCTTGGTTGCCTTCTCGACCAGTGTGAAGGGGACTTCTTCGAGTTCGACCGGTCGGTTTTCTGCCTGTTCGGGTTGGTCGGTTGGCGGGACTTCATTCCCCTGAGCCGGAGGTTTGGCCTTGGGAGTCCTGATGCCCGATTTGTTCTTGCCAGTCTTTCGTCGTCTAGGCCTGGCCTTAGTAGCTGTCGGATTGTTCTTGGCGGTTACCAGTTCTTTGGTTTTCGTCTGTGAGTCGGGGGTGTCTGTGGTGGTGGAGGCGTCTTTTTTCTTCAGTTGTTGGACGATAGGTGTTGGTGGTCGGTCCTTGGAGAGGAGACCCATGGCCTTACACACCTGCTCGAGTGCCTTGACGACCTTAGCCAGGCACGGCCCGATGTGCTCTTCTGTGTGGTACTCGTCTGCCAGGCCTTCAACCAATTCGCAGGCGTATCGCATCGCCGTGGTGGCGGCGCAGAGGGCACCATCAGTGTCCGTTGTTGGTGGTACTGTCGGGATTTGGAGTCCCCTTTTCCGCCGTGGCTGTTCGGGGTTGTTGAGCCGGAAAGTTTCCTTTTGTTTTGATTTTTGGTCGGTTCGGTCTCCATATCCCATCTGTCTGGGATGGATGGCGGCATGGTTTCCTATCCTGGAAAAACGGGTCGAAGACAGAAGTACAGAGAGAGAAAAAAAAAAAAAAAAAAAAACCTAACCTAACCTAACCTAACCTTTTTGGTTTTTTTCTGTTGCGGGGACCTCGTCCGGGAGGTGCCTCTGGGCCTTGTGCCCGAGTCCTGAGGTCGTGAGATCTTTGTGGACTGAGTTATGGGAGTTTTTTGAAAACGGGGTGAGGGAAAAACTTTCGCGTGGGGGTGGGGGCCGCTGCCCCAGCCACGTGGCTGTTTTCCGCAGCGCTCTCCGAGCGCTGGTTCTCGCACACCGGCGTTTTCAAAATTTTCGATTTTTCGGTGACCGAGTGACGTTCACGTCGCGAGTTGTTCGCGTCGCGTTGTCGTTAGAACGAATGTCGCGGATTTGCGACCGGCCCGATGGCAGTGGCAAAATCCGTTATCACGGGGATCGGAGCCGCGTGATAGTACGGGCGGCCGTGTTATTCTTATGGGGTGTAAGTATAGTGTACTCACCTGGGCCCTTGGGGTCGGATTTGCCCGTTCGGAGTCTTATTAATTCGGGCTCGACGAGACGGACCGGATCAGCTGATGGACCAGGACGTGAGACGTCTGGTCGTCGCTGGGTGGTCGCTTTTGTCAGCCGATATTATGCTTAGCAGTAGTTGGTCTAGTGGGCTGGTTTCTGCAGCAAAACTGAAATTCGCACTCGCGTTGTGACCGGACTGTCACCGTACACTTAACGCGCGATCCGGATTTTGCGTTTGGGTTCGCGGGCGTCGAATTTGGCGAACTTTGTGCGGCTGCGTAATTCGGTAGCGATTTTTCGCGGCGGCGTCATAAAGCGGCGTCGGCTTTTGCCGGGTGGCCGGATACGGGCCCGCTGAGTACACCAAAAGATGCGCACGGGCGGTGCGGATTTTTTGGTGTATCGAACGGGTGCGTGCGGTTATCGGTTCGTTGGTGATCGGCGATTCGCGAGGAGCCGTACGGTCGGGCGGCCTGCCACGGGGGCCTTGGTCGCCGTAGCGCACTGGATTTTGAACTTACGTTCGCGCGCGATGTCTTATTCTCTTAGTTGGCTCAAGACAAAGATTTTAAGACCTCGGGCGCGAGAATCGGAGGAACTTTTCCGTCGAAATAATTTCCGGCGGCGGGCGGCGGATTTCGGCTCACTGTTTTCGTGATTTCTCAGACGCGGATGGTTGGATATCGACGCGCGATGTATCCACGTGACGGCGGAGACGAGACGAATCGATGGGCACTGGTTTCACTCGGATGCGTCCGGTTTTTCGGCGGAAAACAAAAAACTGCTCGGGAGCGATACGCGGGTGCGTGTTGTCGTTTGGTGGTCGGCACCGGACTTAACCTAACCTAACTAACCTAATCTAACCTTTTTTTTTTTTTTTTGTACGGTATCGTGGAGGGCCGGAGACGCCCTGAGGCATTTCGTCAGCTCCCCCACATCGTTTATTGAACAAAACCAAATCATACATAGGGATACATAATTAAATAAAAAAATTACAAATAAATGGATGGCCCTACACCATCCAAAAAGTGGCCTTCGGCCCACAGCAAAGCAAACTTAACTAAGGGTGTTATTCTTGACGTTGCCGTTCTCTTTCCTCGGATTCTCTCTTCGTCAGCATCTCCTCCACGAATTGCTCTACTGCCGTCCAGTTGTACTGTGACTCCAGCATCTTCCCCACTACGGTCTCGGGAGTGAATGGGTCGTTGATTGTAGCTTTCAGCTCCATTCTCCGACGCCACCACCTATCACAAACGAAGATCGCGTGCTCTGCGTCGTCAACTGGCGCGAGACAGTCCACACACCTCGGGTTGTCCAGCTTCCGGATACGGTGCAGATACCGGCCGAAACATCCGTGTCCCGACAGGAATTGCGTCAGGTGGAATGTTGTCAGCCCGTGGCTCCTGGCGCACCAGGGACGGACGTCCGGGATCAACCGTCTGGTCCAGCTAGGTTAGGTTAGGTCAGATTCCTCCGTCGACCATCCCTCCTTCCACGCCTCCATTGTGTTGGTCCTCGGAACGTTGCCTGCCGTGGGTGCTGCGGGGCCCTGTCTCCGGTCGAACACCGTCTCTCTCTCCTTCGCCAAGAGGTCTGCAGGCGGCGTTGACGCGATCACGTTAGTTGCCGCCTCGGAGACGGTGCGGTACGCGCAGGCACATCGGAGAAGAACTCTCCGTTGGGCTCTGTTCAGGGTCCGGACGTTTCCTGGCACGATCTTAAGCGTATGCGCCCAGCTAGGGGCACCGTATAGGAGCACCGAGTGCACCACCGACGACAGGAGCCGCCGTCGGTCCTCTCGGGGCCCGCCCATGTTCGGCATGATCCTTGCCAACTGGTTCCCGATAGCCGCTGCTCTGGCTGCCGCTCTCTTCACATGGCCCTTGAACAGCATCGACTTGTCAACCACCATCCCAAGATAGGTCATCTCGGTCGAGAGTTGAATGTCGCCGCCGCACAGTCTGATCGCGGGCTGGGTGTACTTGTACTTGTACGTGAAGAGGACGGCTTCGGTCTTCTCCACCGCGATCTGAAGGCCAAAGTCAGTGATACGCTTCTCCAACAGGGACAGTGCTTCATTGGTCACTTCTTCCAGCTCCTGGGTCGACTTGGCCCTGGTGACCAACATCGTGTCGTCCGCGAATCCCAGCAGCTTCGCTCCGCTGGGCAGCTCGGTTCTCAAGACGGCATCAAACGTAGCGTTCCATAGGAGGGGGCCTACGACGGAACCCTGGGGCACGCCTCCGGAAATCTCGATATCTAAGGTACCACCCTCCGCGCAGTTCACGTGCACCGTTCCCGTTCTTCCGGAGAAGTACGACCTGAACATGTTCTGCAGGTATTGCGGGATGCTCCACCCCAGCAGGGCGTTCATGATGTCCGACCACTTGATGGAGTTGAATGCGTTCCGGATGTCGATGCTGACGGCTAGGCAGTACTTACCCACGTTGACTCCTTCCAAGAGGTTGGCCTGTAACTCACGTACCGCGTCGTCCGTGGACTTCTTTTTCCTGAAGCCAAACTGGTTGTCCGAGAGCCCACCGCTGTCCGACATGTGGTCCTCGAGTCTTCGCGCTAGCAGGAACTCGAGGATCTTGCCAACGTCGTTCAACAGGCAGAGAGGTCTGTAGGAAGAGGGTACACCGTCCGGCTTGTTCCCTTTCTTCAGCAGCACCACCGTGGCGGTCTTCCATTCCTTAGGGAAGGTCCCACTGCAGAGGCAGCTGTTGTATAGGTCCGGTAGGGTGTTTGGGTGCGCCTTGTGCACCGCTCGGAGTATCTTGCCAGTGAGTCCGTCTGGGCCTGGGGCTTTGTTCTTGCTGCCCGCCCTCTCGACCGCCAAGTCCACTTCCGAAGCCGTGAACAGGACTAACCTAACCTAACCTAACCTATTATTGTTTAATACTACTTATGTATTACTGTTATTATACTGTATTCACCCACAATGTATTATATTTATAAAGACTTATGGTCGTTTAAATAAAGATGCCTTAGGCAGTTAAAAAAAAAAAAAAAAAAAATTAAACAAAACATAAAGAAATATGTAATTAATACAATTTCTGTATTTACACTCAGACAGCTGCGATTTTATCAAAATTAGTACATTTTATTCACATTTATGTATATATTTTTAGGTTTCAGCATAAATTCTACATACGTATTTAATGAAAAAATTAGTAAATTATATATATGAACAGGTACTATATTGCGTTTAATTATTGTATATTGGATATCATTGTACAGCGACGTTGTGCTATTTTTCACGTATCTACGGTAAATATATAATAATTAATATATGTTTAAGAATTCAGGTATTGAATAAATTATATATAGAAAATATTTTATGTAAATTATTATTTGAAATAATCGATCGAGTCTATGAATGCTGTTTAAGTACATATATTATATGTATGTAAGTATGTATGTGTGTCGGATCGGGTGCCGGTTGTGACGAGTGATGAGTTTATGTGTTTTGCGAGTTGTCTATTTAGAGTAATTAATACAAGTTTCGGAGGAGCCTGTACTAAGAATTAAATATATACAGGAGCCTATGCTTCTACATGTAAAATTTTAGGGGAGGAGCTGCTGAACCTACATATTTATACTACTTCCGACGAAATTGTTTCCTTATTATATAAGCGCACACAATCTATAGTAGGTCTCTGATTGGTTATTTCCAATTATAATAATTGTATGTAAGGGTACAATGTACCAGGTCTACATCTTTGCCCATCCGACTTGCTGTCGCCCGGCAGTGGCTCAAACATTTACCAAGATTAAAAACTACGTTTTAAAATAATTTAAAATAACTATATAGGTACACTAAAAATTGTTTTCCATTAGGTAATCACACAATATATTTAGGTAATTGTATATAATATTATAAAAAAAACTTTTGAAAACCATATGAAATAGAAATGAATTATAGATATTTATATATTAATGACATTATAAGTAGCCGCGTCCTCAAAAATATAAATCAACTTCTATATACATTCATATTGATTAAAAACTATTATTGAAATAAAGAGTGTTGTACTTTTGTTATACAAAAAAATTATTTAGTTTCTCCACTGTCTGACCTTGAGGCGTATTCTGAACGGAAATCGGGTCATTATAATAATTATTGCGATTAATCATTATGTAGTTTTTTTTGTAAACATATATATTATCAATTATGTACAGTGGTCACTTGATGAAATTTTTTTTTTTACAGATATTTAGCACGTAAATCGCACGTATTCGCACGTATTCGCACGCCTAGTTTTGAAATTCGCACGAATCTCCTTAAAAATGGTTAGGTTAGTTACTAATACTTACATAGTGTATACGAGAAGTTCAGTTGACATTTTTTTATTTTATTTTATAGGAGTGTAATTATTATTATTTTATAAACACATTATTGTAATATATAACTCGTGTAGAGTGACACGCGCTAAATCTTACGACGACAAAATCCTCTTATTCTCTAGCTAATGGCAACTTCTAAAATAAATTACGATTTCAAAGTTAAATTTTGAGGTATGCTGGCATGCGCTAGTAGATTCTATATGTTACCCTTATACGTTGGAATTACTCTAAATGATATATAAAGTGGTGCTATTCGGTTTAATAAATTGAAAATGGCACATAGGTAGTATGTACTGCCCGGCGCTGTTCTTTTTAAAAGGTAATAATTTATATTTTATAAATTAAAGATCATACGCAGTTTTCAGGTCAGAATCACGTTTCTTTATTTTAAAATAAAATATACTAAGCTTGTGTAACAGTGTTCGCTAACGTGCATGCAAACGATACACCTACATTTTTTCCGAGTTTCGTGAAGACGGCAGTGTTCTATAGAACAATATTAGTGTCATCTTTATTATTTAAGCTCGTTTTGTACACTGACCTGACCTATGTTAATATTTAGTTGTTAAAAATATTCCCACCTTTTTATCATATAATTTGTATACTTTATTTTTAGATTCTGAGTGGAGTGAAGAAATAAATTGATTTTACAATGATGAAAAAGTGAAAACGTGAGAAGACTGGGGATTAGCTACCCTGCAGTAACCTTTAACGTAATACATTTTTTAAAATGTAATTTGAAATACCTTAATATTTAAAAAACTATCAACTACAACAAATCTGTTAGAAACCTGCGAAAAAATTTAAAAATTTAAATTGTAAAAAAAAAATAATAATTTTAAAACAAATGGTAAGTACTAAGTAGCCGGCAAAGTTCAAATTATAGTTTTAAAGAAATAATGTGATTTGCGTGCTAAATATTTTCAGAAAAAAATTGAGGAATTTCTGGCGAAACGCCCCCCCATGGATTTTGATTTTCGAGGGGGAAGGAGGGTCGTGCGAATTTCAAAACTAGGTGTGCGAATTGTACGTATTGTGCGAATTACGTGCTAAATATCCGTGCAATTCATTTATAGATTTTCCATTAGGGGGGGGGGGCTGGCCAAACGTACGTCCAGCTGGCACGTATTATTTTCATAAGTATTTGATGGAATGTAATATTGATTTTTATTTTTATTTACAAATACAATTTATTAAAATATTAAATTTACATACAGTGTAGTAGCTTACCTAGTACCTACGTAATAAAAATCGTTTGTAACTCTGAATTAATTTATATTTATGTGTTTACTGGAGGAAGTTAATTAACGTTAAGTGCATCACCATCGTATACAGGTTAAGTGAGGTTAGCTTATATGCTATCAGTAGTTTTTAGTTATTATGAAACCATATTATATAATTTCGTAATGTATTTAAAATTTAAGTTTTTTCTATACAAGTTTATAAGTTAATTAACCGTACTAATTTTCCAACAGTCATATAATTTATGTTAAGATAGTCTAATAAATAACTGAAAACTGCTTGATGATGCCGTGTTGGTTTAAAAAAAAAGTATATATTAATATAAATAAAATATAATTTTTATGATGGTTTGGGGTTATAAAAAGTTTGTAAGCATGATTCAAAATTGGTCTAGGTTGAAAAATATATTTTTGAAATTGGTCTGATATAGTTCAACAAATTGTTTTAAAAATTTGTTCGGAGCTGATAACATTTTTATAGGACCGGGCTGTACTCTAATATACAGTATAATATAGAAGGTATATAAAATAAATAATTAAGTATGAACATATATAAGACCTTATAGCACTATAAAGATGTGGTACCATGAATAAATGCTAAGTATATTGAATTTAAGTAAACTTATTTTGTTTCAATAATTTTTTACTTGGCGAGGAATTATTTAAAATACCTAGTGTATAAATATTAATAATAATATTTTTAAAATAATAATAATTGTTATATTTTATTTTAATAGTCCTTTGTCATTTAATTATTTTGTTCATATCACACTTTGTTTCTTTTAAGCAACAATTCCTTGACAAGTAAATACATTTTTGGAATAAAATAAGTTTACTTAAATTCAATATACTTAGCATTTATTTATGATATCACATCTTTATAGTGCTTAAAGATCTTATATTTTTTTTACTTAGCCATTTTTACAAGTAAATTAAGAAGGGGATTTTTTTGTGATTTAATATTTTTAAATATATAAAACTACTTATGATTGATCACCAAACTTAATAGTACATATGACAATGGCTATGGCACTTTATACATTTCCAAATTAAATGGTATGCTACGGGATGAGTTTGATTTGACCAAAAGTGTTATGAGAAACTACGAAGACAGGGTTTTTATAAACAAGTGTATTTTGGCATTTCAAAATCTTTTGATTTTGACATTGATGTGCGTGTAATAACTTCAGTTAATTGGCCAATCGATCGAGAACTTAAACATGAAATACCATCATTTGGATTGTGTGCTTTTAATGAATTCAAAACACTGTACAATGAAAATAGGCAGGATAACGCCAAAAAGAAATTAATGCTATTACCTCAGTTTGGTACAGTTGAATTGGAAGCACATTTTTTTGGCAAGCCTAGTTGGGATATACCATTTGATAATGAATTACCAATAAACCACATTAATCGGGTATATCGAGAGCTCAAACTTGAAGTAACAACTTATCAGATGTGTGTGCTTGACTTCGTCAATACTAATATTACAATAACTTTTGAAGATTTACTAAATATAACTAAGATTTGGCACAAC